GCTACTTGGAAGGCTGAGGAGGAAGGATCGCCGGAGCCCAGCAGTTCGAGGCTGCAGTGGCCGGGAGCGACCACTGCACTCCAGTCTGAGTGACAGAGTGAGATTCCAACTCAAAAAAATAAAAATAAATAAAAATAAACAAAATAAAAATACAATAAAACAGGCATTCAAATAACAAAACTTAAAATTTTTTTCTTACCATTTGCCAAGGACTTTATATTCATGATGTACTTTAATTTTGATAAACCATATTAACCCATTCTTTCCCCCCCACCCCCACCCATTCTTATTTTAGAGATGCACAACCTGAGATTTTAGGAATTTAATTAGTGATTCACTTTATGTACAAACTATCATCCTTGTGTTTAGGGACATAAATAACTTGTGCACTATGATATTCAGTGAAACTATATTATTTGGTATTCTGTAAATACCAAATATAAAAGAAGTATAACTGTAGTTAAAAATTGCAATTCCAGTGAAAATATATTCTCAAAGCTACAGTCGAACAAAAACATTTGAGAAAACTTAGTGCTTTTGAATAATAATAATAAGAAAGAATTAAAAAATCCAGATGGGGACCACAGTAACTGTGTTCACCCTAAAGTGAAAGAAAATGGCTTGTTAGACTCTGGAGTTCCAAAGTGTGATGTGGTAACAGGAGAATGCATTTTGGTATCAGGTAAATTTAGGTTAAAATCGTAGCTTTGTGAGCAGCTTGTATCATTGCTCAAGTTACTGTACCTTTTTGAGTCTTAGTTTTCTTGTCTATAAAACTGGAGATAGTAAGATATAATTTTAATGAGATATAAAAGGCCTTTCAAAATGCCTAGCACAAAATTGGCCCTGAGTATCTGTTAAGTTTAGTATTCTCCTTTCAAATGGAGCTCTCTAAGTTGTCCCTGACCAAGCTACCACCCTTATTAAGATATAGATTGGCCTCTTAGATTATATCCCCTAGCTTTGCTCATGAATGTAGGCAAATTATTGTTTTATCTAAAGGAACAGAAACTATTGCCCTTGAACAGTCAGATTAAAAAATGACCTGCATATGGAGCAAATCAAATCTTTTATTTCTTGTATTGCTGTGATTTTCAAATGCAGATTGTGTGGAATCAAGCACTTTATTTTTGGTAGTGGATTGATTTTTAGTCGTCTCAGTGGAAAGTGTTCATCAGAGTCAGGATTTGAACCTGGGAGACTGTTTTTAGAATTGTATGCTTATTCAGAACATGGTAAATTATCAGAAATAAAGCCAGGGTTATATTGTTAAAAAAAAAAACTCCAGATGGGATTAATGTTAATCCGAGATATAAATCTCAGAAAGTTGGTTTGTAAGATTTAGAAAGAAATGCAACTGAGATGTTTTTAAAATACCATTTATTTTTTGGATAAAATTATTTGATTTGTAGGTTTGTGGAGGTGACATAAATTTATTATGTTTTGACTTCAGTAAAGCATTTGATAAATTTCCCCTAACCTTTATTTTGATATGGGCAGAATGAAGAAATGAAGGTTAGATTCTTCAAAGTTAAAAGAACCTTTAAAAAAACCATAAACACACACAAAGAGTGTAGACAAATGACTTTATCAACCTCTAGAGTTACTGCATTTGAAGGTGAGCAAAGCTTGGTCCTGTCTTGATTAACATTTTTCCAGCAACTTGAATTAAACCAGAGAAAACCTAAAAGGGAGAGTCATGTAATAAATAAGAGAATTAAGATTCAAACTCTCAAGTTCTCAGCATATTGAAATTATATGAAAAAGCCAATAAGAAATGCTTGAAATAAAGAAATGTAAAGATCTGCTGTAAGGTTAAATTTATGTAAGTAATGTAGAAGTATAAAAACAGGAAACAAAAAATGCAATGACAGCATTGAAAGTAAACATGCCTTCATTTGGATGTTCCCCTCACCCTCACCTCCAAATGTCTCCCTCAACACACTAAAATGATGTACTATATACAAGAGATAATTAAAACAAAGGAATCCAGAAAGAGTATAATAGTGGGCATATGTTACTTGGCAAGTAAAATATAGACATGCTTTAATAGTAAATAGTACAACTCTCAATAAATAGTTCTCATGATATTTTTAGGCATTCGATAAAAATAGTATAAAGAAAGCACAGTTTTAGGGATACAAAGAAATAAAGAATTATAATGACAGTAGACTTTCACACAGCTCTCTCAGTCTCTGAAGACAAAAGTAAGTATACAAATTATGTGAACAACATAGCTAGCAAGACAGTCTCAATGAGTATATAGTCAATCTTATATGCTTATTTTTATTTTTATTTTTTAGAGACAGGATATCCTCTGAGACTGATATGCATTAGCACAATCTTAGCTCACTGCAACCTTGCACTCCTGGGACCAAGTGATCCTTCTGCCTCAACCTCCTGAGTAGCTGTATGCTACCATACCCAGTTAATGTGTGTGTGGGTGGACATGGGGGTCTCACTATGCTGCCCAGGCTAATTTCAAACTTCTGGCCTCAAGCGATCCTCCCACCTCTGTCTCCTAAAGCACTGGATTACACACCCAGCCTCCAACTTTCTATACTTGCATCAGAATTTGCAACTTTATTTTTATTTTTTTTATTTTTTTTATTTTTTATTTTTTTTGAGTTGGGGTCTCACTCTGTCACCCAGACTGGAGTGAAGTGGCCGCTCCCGGCCACTGCAGCCTCGCCTGCTGGGCTCCGGCGATCCTTCCGCCTCAGCCTTCCAAGTAGCCGGAATTACAGGCGCACGCTACCACGCCCAGCTGATTTTTTGATTTATTGTATAGATGAGGTCTCGCTGCCCAGGCGGGTCTTT